ATCCTGCAGACGCCGGAGATGCTCAGGCTGGGAGACTTGAGACCCGGGATCTGCAGCAGAGTTCCCGGCTGCACTTGCCTAGATGGCCGGGAAGAAGCAGCATAAGAACGCACAACCCAGCCCTGCGCGAACTGAACTCGAAGAGGAGTGTGCAGCTCAGCTCAGGAGACTGGGAGACAAACTGAATTTCTGGCAAAAACTTGTGAATCTAATAACCAAACTCTTCTGCTCTGGAACCTGACTGCAACAGAAACCTTTGCGTAAGGGGACTCCTTCGAAAGAGAAGTTTCCCACAATGGGTGCAAGTGGTATCAATTTCATTAATTGGAAGAGAGGCCTCATTGTAATCGAGAGGAATGAGAAGGAGCATTCACTTGCTTGTGGATGTCCTTAAACTGAAGATGGAATACCTCAAAAGAATTTCTGTTGGGTTTTTCATATGTCATTTTTGGGGATGTGAGAACACTGTAAAACTACCTTGTTTATTCGAAAACAAGAATGAAAGAATCTTAAAAATAGGGGTATAATAACACTTCTTTTTTTAGTTAGAGAATTATTCTGTCATTTTTGCTGAAGGTCATTTCCCAGCCTGATATAAAAGGAGTTGAAAATAAGATTGAGGCTGAAAGAAACAGTTCAGTGTTGGGTTTTCTGTTGTTTTGCTTTTCACTGCCAACTCCCAAGCACTGTATACTATTTGGTTTACATGTATTGTCTTATTAAAATTTCATTCTGAGAACACTGAATGTTATATTGAATGTTGATTGCGTAGGTCACTACACAATGTCAAATAAGTCAATTTGTTCTGATTCAAATTGTATTGCTCCTGTTCAGATGGCTTTCATTAAATGTGTTCCCTGGGGTTAACTGGAAACTGTGGAAAACTGGAAAATAACTTTGAAAAAATTGGATTTTATAGGAGGATTACTTGGTGCCAGTCAATCTCTTGCACACTGAACATAAAATAAGAAAAGAGGATTTTGTATAACTAGGGAAAATGACAAAAATAGAACTTGACTTTTCAACTGATGCAGTTAAAACTTATTAAAACAGTACACATTCTAAAGATGTTCCTAAAATTAAAATACTAATTAGTGTGTATCCTATGAAAAGCTATCTTTTAAAAAAAAAATGTTTCATAATTAGAATATACTTTGATTTAAAAAGGGACAGATATTTCTTATTCACAATAAAAACCCCATATAGATATATACGAAAATAATGGCATGATTGAATTTCAGCAGAAGTAACTATTTATTTTTTACCTATTTATAATCAAAATATTTTTTGTTTCATTTGAAGGTGTGTATTAAATTTCCATTTTTGAGTTATGAGATAAGGATTTTATAACTATTTGAATATTTACAGTAAAAATAATATAGGGTATAGTCACGTTTGATGAAAAATTACCTCACATTTGTTTTTCTCAGTATTACTTAAGACTATTTATTTAGTTGGAAAGATGTTATTTTCTGCCTTGAGGTAGCTATTTTGCCATATGAGTATTTATGGTCTATAACTATATTTAAATGTATGTACACATCTGAAAATTGGTGTGTTGTCACTACCAAACTATTAAAAGTTATCTCCATTCTAAAAAAGAAAAAGAAAACAAGCATGGAAACCCCATATTGTACCCCCATAAAAATGTAAAATTATTATGTATTAATCATAAATTTAAAAAGAAAATATTTGTAAACCATATGTATAATAAAGGTTTCTTATCTAAAATATATAAGAAATTCAAACAACTCAATAATAGGGAAACAAATAACCCTATTAAAAATAGGCAAAGGACCTGAACAGATCTGTCTCAAAAGAAGACATACAAATGACAAATAGATACATGAAAAAATGCTCAACATATCTGGTCATTATGGTGTTATAAATTAAGACCATAATGAGATATCACATCACACCTGCTGGGACGGCTATTATACAAAAGATGAAAATGAGCACTAATAAGGATGTGTAGTAATGGGAATGCTTGCACACTGTTGGTGGAAATGTAAATTGGTATAGCTATTTTGGAAAATAAAATGGAGATTTCTTTTTTTTTGTAATTTTATTTTTATTTTTTAGTTAGGGTAGGGGTTGGGTTAGGGTAGGGTTAGGGTAGGGGTTAGGGTTAGGGTTTAGGGTTAGGGTAGGGGTTAGGGTTAGGGGTTAGGGTTAGGGTTTAGGGTTAGGGTAGGGGTTAGGGTTAGGGTCAGGGCCAGGTTTAGGGTTAGGGGTTAAGGTTCAAAATGGAGGTTTCTTAAACTAAAATCAGACTTACCATCTGATCCAGCAATCCCACTTCTGGGTATATTTCCAAAGGAGTCAAAATCAGTATTTGGGAGCTACATCTGCATTTCCATGCTTGTTTCAGCATTATTCGCAAAAACAAGATATAGAAGCAACCTATATATCCTTAGAAACAAACTAATTCTGCCTTTTGGACAACGTAGGTGAACCTGGAGGACATTACGCTAAGTGATATAGGTAGATACAAAAAGGAAAACAAATACTGTATGATTTCTCTTATATGTGGAATTTAAAAACATCAATCTCATAGAAACATAGAGTAGAAAGGTAGTAATCAGTGTCTGGAGAAGAAAAGTGGAATGCAGAAAGGAAAGATACTGATCAAATGGTAGAAAGTTTTGGTTAGAATGGAGAAATTATTTTTAGTGATCTATTGCACATTGTGACCACAGTTGATAATAATGTACTGCTTATTTCAAAATTGCTAATAGATTTTTAATCTTGTCACCAAAAAAAAAAGTTAGAAAGGTGTTAATTAGCTTTATTTAGTCTTTACACAATGTACAAACTGATCAAAACATCACATGGTACCTCAGGAACATATACCTGATTAAAAGTAAATAAATAAGAAAAAATGTATAGGCAAACCACCAACTGGACAAGTATTTACCACGTGCATAACTATCAAAGGAATCATTCAGCATATATAAAAACTCTACAAGTTAGTAATGAAACAGAGAAATATTTAATTAAAATGAGCAAAACTTAAGCCAACAGTGTGGAAAGAAAACTGAGTAGCCAATAAGTGTATGAAGATGCTCCATTTAATAAATCATTACAGAAATGTAAATTTAAAAACATGGAGATAGTACTTCACATTCATTACAATGGCTGAAATTGAAAAGACTAGCAGTACCATATTGGGGGGGAGTATGTAGAACAACAGGAATTTTCCTGGGAAGGTGATAGAATACAACCACTTTAGGAAATAATCTGGTGATTTCTTAGAGAGTTAAGCATACATTTTCCTGTGATTCAACAATTTCACTCCAAGAGAAATGAAAACACAAACCTACTAAAGGACTTGAATGGGAATAGACACGATATCTTTATTCCTAACAGCCCAAACTTGTAGCCTACACATATATCTACCTATGTAAAAGTAGTTAAACTGTGATACATTCATACAATGAAATAGTAGTCAGCTTTATAAAAGGAACAAATTACTGATATATGTTATGCAATGACATAGATAAATCCTTAAAATATTCTGTTGAGCATAAGAGCTAAGAATAAAAAAGTACACATTGTATAATTCTAAATATATAAAGTCAAAGGTCAGACAAAACTAATATTCAGTGTTAGAAACAGGAACAATGGTCGCCTGTGGGAGCGGAAGGATAATGTGAAGGGAGCTCCAAGGGAACATTCAGAGGTGATGAAAATGTTTCATGCTTGAAAGGAGTTTGAGCTACAAAGTTGCATTCATTTAACAAAACTCATTGAACTGTACACTTATGAACTGTACATATCATTCTTTCTTAATTATACCTTAATTAAAAATAATCAGAGTTATTTAAAGATGTATTTGAAATTCATATATTATTTTTATAGAATATATAAATTTATAAAATGTGTGAATTTCAATTAATGAAGTAAATGCTGTAAGGTCTTTGGAAGAAAAGGTTCATCTGACATGCATCCTGTCCTCGAAGAACATAGAAGACACACTGGAAACCTGCCATGAGGGATTCCAGACCCATAGAGAAGGAGAACTGGGCAAAGCCAAAAAGGAAAGAATGGGAGAGCATTTGAAAGGAAAACACAAAAAGACGGTGTGCCTCATGCCTTAATTATGCTTTGACAGTGATTTATCTGGTTATAAAACCTAACTTTACGCTTGGAAAGGTTGAAAATAGTGAAAGCAACAAATTTAAAGATGATAGCTTCAATTTGGTAAATGGAGATTTTGTGCAGCATAACTTAAAGATTCATCAGGTTATTCATCCATTAAGTCATTTATTCAATAAACATTTATAAAGCTAAGGAGACATTCTAAGGCCTGCCAAAATTAAAGAATACTGCTCTTTGGGGCCTAGATTAGTATTTCGTTTTTCTAATTTGAGACAAATCTTGGGGAAGAGAAAAAAGAAACTTGTTAAAAGTGCAACTTTTTTTCCTTCCTATTTAGTGCAATGACCAAAGTTTAGAATTTTTCTGCACAGCTTCCGGCCTTCTGGCTGAAGGTGGGATTCATCAAAAGTGGGAATAGTTCTGGACTCAAAAGTTGCCAAAGGTCACCGGGGGAGTGTAAGGGTCCTGTGAAGCAGTTCCTGACACACTGTCCCGGGGCACTTTGTGTTTGTTTAACAGACATTGAGTCATTTAATCCTTGGGAGGAGGACTATTACTTTAACAGTTGTAGGATCAGGGGATGATAATCTTAGTCCTCTGGGAGGCTGAGGTCTGAGGATCTCTTGAGCTCAGTAGTTCCAGACCAGCCTAAGTGCTAGACAGTGTCTCTACTGAAAAATAGGGAAAAATTAGCTGGGCACCATAGGGGGTGCCAGTAGGTCCAGCTACTCAGGAGACTGAGGCAGGAGATCACTTGAGCCCAGATGTCTGAAGTTGCCATGGCACTCTAGCCTGGGGCAACAGAGTGAAATTCTGTCTCAAACAAACGCCCAAGCTGTGATGGGAGAAGTTGGTTCTCAAAGCTACATCTGTCTGACCCAATCAGAGGCTGTCAGGCGCTACACCAGACTGCTGCCAGACATCTCGAGGGATCTCTGAGGAAAGCTTCCTTCACTATCATCCACCTCGGGGGTGTCCTGAAGAGCCTGCTGGAGAACCAGCTTGAGGGTCCTCTGCCTACGCCACCACCGCTGCCTGGAGGAGCCCACGAAGAAGTAAATGATGGGGTTCGTGCTGCTGTTAACACAGGACAGGACAACTAAAACCGAATGAAAGTAACAAGGGAACACACTAACCTTCCAGACTAAGAGGAACCAGTAGATGCCATAGGGCAGGCCACAGATGAGGAAGGCCAGCACTGTGAACACAATAGTCACATACAGCCTGGTCAGCGGCATCCGGTGGGAGCTGCAGAGGATCCGCACCATCAGGGCCAGGCTGGACCCAGAGAGAACCACAAATAAAACAATCAGCCACGCTGCAGTGATGAAATCAAACATGCGACACCAATCATAGTCACCCCACCTAAACAGGAAGCCACAGTACTTCCCTTCTAGGATGCTCAGGAGCAGGGACAGAGCCCAGAGCAGGGCACACATGATCGCAGATAGGTGTCTGGGGCGGCGACAGCGGTACCAGATGGGCCGCAGGACCGACAGGCAGCGCTCAGTGCTAATGGCGCTCAGTATGCTCAGACCTGCAAGGTAGGCAAAAGTCAACACAGTGGTGATAACTGATATGCTATACAAGATGCCAATGAGTATCTCCAGGCATTCTACAATTAGGAAGCTGAGAAAGAGAAAGTCAGCGGCTGCCAAGTTGAGAATGTAGACAGAGAAGGTGTTTCTGCGCATGCGGAAGCCCAGGAGCCAGAGCACAACCGCGTTTCCTGCCACCCCGACCAGGGCAATGGCGAGGATTAGCAAGGTCAGCATCAGAGGATCTTTGCCACAATTTGAAGGAGGAGGGTCCTGTTCATTTCCATTCATTGTTGTGATTTCGGTCAGTGGAGGAATGGTTGAGTTCATGCTCAGAAACCCTCTGTCAATGCTCCTGCAAACACAAAAGAGACATGAGCACCTGGGTGGTGATCACTGATTCTCAGCACCACCCGCCATGTGGGAATTGCCCACCGTGTGTTATGGGGGAAGGAAACAGAGGCTTGAAAAGTGTAAAGGTTTTTCTGAAGGCCAGGGAGTCCTGGCACCTGGATTTAAACCCAGTTCTCACTAACTCTAACGACTGGGCTCTCTCTACTCCAACTGTCATGTCTTCTACTGATGTGAGAATAGTCTAAGGTCCAAACACCCCACTCACTGTACTAAGCCATGTCATGTCCCCTGGAGGTAGGAGGAGAAAATCTGGGCAGGTTGTGTGAAACAAGAAGAGACAGAACTCTGAAACCAGCATTCCTTCTCTCCTGGGCTAGAGGTTTCCTCTCTGGGGCTGGAAATGGGAAGTCCAGGCAGGACCCAGGCCACCTTTGGTGACTGAAAGAAGTCCATTCACTAGGCAGAATGGAGATCATGATTTAGTGTCATGACGGGAATATGACTTCTTGCTAGAACAGGTGTGAGGATGACCACACCTAGAAATGGGCTAGAAATGACTCAATGGGAAAGCACTTTTCTCTGGTCCATTTCTGGATTCTCAGTGCTTAGCTCCATGTAGGAGACATGGTAGATGTTCAAAAAATTGTAATCCAAAAATGAATAAATAAATGGGGAGTCAAACAGTAGTTGAAAATTTGTGTTAAATGTAACACAAACATTTTAAAAATTAAATTAGTCACCAGAAAACACACATGTAAAGAAATGAAGAACATTTCAATCCTCACCTTTCCTTTTGTGGAACACTGGTGTATTCGAAAAGACTCCTTCTGCCTTCACAGATGGCCAGTGATGGGCATTGTTGTGTCTCTAACCCAGGGAGGGTCAGGATATGGCTTTTACTAATGAGCACCCACAGGAGTTTTAGCTCACAGTTTAGGGAGAGGATTTAGGGCTTATTTGAATTGTTCTGCATTTTAGAGGAGAAAGGGGCAAGTTGGGAAAAGGAGAGAGCAAGGTGGCAGTGAGGCTGCCTGAAAGGAGTTGAGGAAGTTTCTAAGGAGGATCCCACTCTCCTCCAACTGATTTTGAGTGGAGTTTACTTTCCTGATTAAAGCATAAAGCATTCTTTGGGGAAGGGGGTGGGAAATAGCAAAAGTTCCCAATCCATTTTTATATTGTTCAGAGTTTGGGGTGAAAAGGCAGATGCTGGTGAATTCCACTTGTGAAGGAGATCTTTCTCACATCAGTGCCCACCACTCACCATCTGTGAAAGCAGCTGAAGGAGTGTTCCTCAGGTACAGTCTTTTAACCCTATGCAGGGTCTAATGAGGGCAGTACTATTATTCCCATTTTATTTTTTTTTATTGAATGGTAACTATGTACATTAATGCAATTCTGGGGCACAGTGTGGTATTTTCACATACAATTTGAAACATTTCCATCAAACTGGTTAACATAGCCTTCATGTCATTTTCTTAGTTATTGTGTTAAAAACATTCATATTCTACACTTAGAAAGATTCACTTGTACCTTTGTAAGATAAACCACAGATGTGATCCCTCCAATTCCCCTCTCTCCACCCATTCCCCCTCCCCTCTCCCTGCCCCTCCCCATATTCTTAGGCTGTTATTAGGTTATAGCTTTCATATGGAATGGGCAGAAGAAAGGATCTCTGACATTGAAGACAACACTTTTGAAGAAGCCCAGGAGCACAAAGATCAAAAGAAATAGAGAGGAAAAATGGATCTTTCTCTCAGAGAGCTCTCAGATAATTCAAAGAAAACTAATATTCACCTAATAGGAATCCCTGAAGGCGATGAAGTTGTTTCACAAAATACAGAGGCTCTTCTTCACGAAATTATGAAAGAGAACTTTCCAGACATGCCAAGAGATTCTAAAATTCAGATAGCAGATAGTTTCAGAACTCCAGCACAACTCAACTTGAACAAAACATCCCCCAGGCACATCATAATTAACTTCACTAAAGTTAAGATGAAAGAGAAAATCCTGAAAGCAGTCAGACGTAAGAAAACCATAACCTACAAGGGGAAGAGTATTAGGATGACTGCAGATCTCTCAGCTGAAACCTTTCAGGCCAGAAGAGGATGGTCATCGACTTTTAATCTCCTAAAACAAAATAACTTTCAACCCAGGATCCTATATCCGGCTAAACTGAGTTTCATTTATGATGGAGAAATTAAATACTTCAATGACATTCACATGTTGAAGAAATTTGCCATAACTAAACCAGCTCTCCAGGAAATTCTCAAACCTATCCTCCATAATGACCAGTGCAATCCTCTACCACAAAAGTAAACCAACTCAGAAACTTTTGATCACATTCCAGCTTCCACAGTGGTGAAAGGATTAAGAATGTCTACTGGACTTTTGAGCAACTCGATGCCCAAAATTTTACCAGGCTTATCAATAATTCCCATTTTATATATAAGGAGACTAAAGCACAAATAGATTGAGTGACATGCTCCAGGTCTCTTGAAAACAAATGGTTGAGTCTACATTTGAATCCACAGGTCTGTGTCAGAGTCCTTATTCTTAACCAACATGCAGCCCCGTTGCCAGAGATTGGTGTCAAGTACACACACAGGAAGAAGATAACCAACAAGTAATGCTCAAGTCAAATCCAAAATAGAACTTTAAAATCATGATTGTTTGAGCCTTGATTAAGGAAATTTAAGAAGAATTAAGGGTTAGTAGTCAAAGAAGTGGTAATGATCAAAGAAGGGGAAGAGATGTGAATAGAAGCCAAGTGGGAGCAAGCCACTGAATGCATGATCCCTTTTCTGTTTCAGACAGATATCAATCCACACTGCAGAGGACTCACACAGAAGTCCTCCATGTGGAAAGGAGATGTGTCCTTTTTGGGGGTGCAGAGTTAGCATCAGGGATGATGAATGCATCCATCACATGCTCTCTTAGTTCCAGTAGCCCTGCTTGGCCTGATAAGGATATGGAGGAAAACCACAACATTTGTTGCCCTCCTTCAAGGCCTCTTGGCTTTTTTACTCATGGCAGTGAAAGTCCTTATTGGTTTAGTTTTGTCCATTTAAAAAAATTAACTATGTGGCATTTACAGCTCTGTTTTTGTGAGAGTTTTAGGTGTTTGTTTTGTTTTGTTGTGTTTTAGTTTTTCACAGGGCTATAGACCATTTAGGAGATGGTTTAGTCTATTTTTTATTGTAAAATACAAATAATGTAACCTTTATCATTTTTACCATTTTAAGTATATGGTTCAGTGGCATTAAGTTCGTGTACGTTGTTGTGCAACCATTACCACCATCCATCTCAAAAACTTCCCTATCATCCCCAAATGAAGCTTTATATCCATCCAAAACTATCTCTCCATTCCTCTCTTCTGTCCCAGCTCCTGGTAACCTCTATTCTACTTTCTATCTCTATAAATCTAACTATTCTAAGTACTTCATATGAAAGGGACCACACAACATCCTGCTGTGCCTGGTTTATTCCACCAAGCATCATGTCCTCAAGGTTCATCTATGCTGCATTTATCAGGATTCTACTCCTTCCATGGTTGAACAATATTCTCTTGTATGGATAAGTCAAATTTTGTTTAACCATTTCTTTGTTGATGGCCACTTTGGTTGTTTCTATCTTTTGGCTATTATGAATAATGTTGCTATGAACATTTTGCACAAATAACTGCCAAGTCCTTGTTGGTTTAGTATTGTCCATTTAAAAAAATTAACTATGTGACATTTGGTAGTGTGCTACTACTACCTTACACATACCATCTCCCTCTAATCTGTGCCACAACCCCTATGAGGGGGTATTATCATCGTTATCTTCTTTTTTCCAAGGAAATTGAGCCTCATTGAGGTTGATTCTGGACTACTCAGATGATAAGTGGCAGAGGCAGTGTCTGAACCCTCAGCTCTCTGTCTGCTGCTCCTTCACACCCAACCCTTGCCCTCTGGCTGTGCCAAGGTGCCTTGGCTTCAGAGGGTGTTCTGACCCTGTGCCTTCTTCATCTTTTGTGTCTCTCAGGCTGGCTTTGGCTAGAATAGCAGTGGGGTTCCAGCTACAAGGTCATTTGGATATAGTACAGCTCTATTTTTAAGTGTATGTCTATTTTTTTGTTTCCCTAATTAAATTCAAAGCTCTATAATGCCTAGACCTGCCTGGTTTTTCTTGTGGTTGTTCACTATTATATCCCCAGCTTCCAGCTAATATCCCTCATCTATTGTAATACTCTCATTTAACAAAGGAATAAACCCAGACTTAAGGAGCACAAAAGCTTTTCTTGAGACCATATGGTAAAAAGTAGGCCTGGTACCAGCCCTGGTCTTCTAGAGCCCATTCCCATGTTGACTTGTGTTCCATGGCTACATCATTCACTATTTATGGTGCTCTCCTGAAAAAAACTCTATGCAAGCACAGACTCCAAGAAAGAATCAGGGGTTATAGAGACTGCTTGCTAGTTGCCCCAGTTGTTATTTTCCTCTTCTCACACATAATAATTCTGAGAGTGTTCAATCGGGAAAAGGACCCACATCTCTCGATCCCCTTTGATGCTGATGGCACCATGTGATCAAGTGACGGTCAACAGGAGGTGAGAGAAAGTAATGTAACCAACTCTTTCTGTGTTCTTTCTCTTCTTCCTCAGGACTGGAATGCTAATGTGTTCAGGACCCTAAGGATGAGGGCACCTCTTTCAGAATGGGGGTGGCAAATTGGAAGGGGCATTGATGTCTAACATCTTGGTGTCATTAGTCTAGGAGTAAAAAGCTTTCTTTCTTATTCAAGTCACCATTATAATGGATTTCTCTTTAGAACAGCCAAAATCATAAAGTTAAAATACTTACAAATGCCTATGTACTCTTACCATTTTTTTTCAACTACATTCCATTCTCAAGGCATTTGGGATGATAGTGAGATATTAGTATAAAGAAGAGATACTAAATGGGAGGTCAAAAACAAAGGAAACTAACTGGGAGGAGATGTTATAGAATGAGAAATTG